GTCCCGTTGATCATCGAATTGCTCGAACGAGCGCCAGCAACTCCTCGTCCCTGTCGCGTGCTAGGGTGGTTCAGTGGATCCTCCTCGCTCGAGGGACACGATGTCCTTCATTCCTTTCGTTTCAGAGCTTTCGTGAAGAAGTCTGACCATCGGGCCGGCGGTCGTCCAGGTGTTCGTTTGACGTCCCGAGGGATCCAGTCGGTAACCGCTCTGGTCCAACGGTCATCGCAAAATCGCATGACGTGTCCGGCCCACCTTATCTTCGATTCCTTGGCGAAAACGGCAGCGTCCCTGATCTTCGATCGTTGGCGTAGTTCCGAACTCCGGATTCCCCTCTGCACTTGCGTGTATAGGGTTACTCCTAGCATCGTCCTCTCGACAGCGCGTTGGATAACGCTGACCGCATGCTCGTCCTGCCTGCGCAGAGTCCAAGTCTCTGAGGCGTAGGTTAGGGCAGGAAGGACAGCGGAATCGAAGAGGTGGGCACGGAGCCGGATGTTCTTCGTCTTCTTCACTACTCCCTCGATGTTATTTTAATAACGGCCCATTGCCGCTCGTTTTCTCTTGTCCTTATGGAGCTATGGTGTTCATATTAATTTCCCGACCCAGGTACACGTAGCTGGAGCACTCGATGATAATCGTTCCGTTGAGCGTGAGTCTTATGGCTAAATACTCCTGAAGTGTCTCCATACGCAGACGCAAGCCCCTGTTCGCTACCCTCGTCTTCTTCAAGAGGTAGATGATTAGGATGTGTTGGACGTCACTTGATAGAATTAGAAGTGCTTTTTAATTTCCTGGATGAGCATGCGTTACGAATTAGGCAAAGTGTGGTTAACGCCGTTTTCAACGTGAGGGAAATGTCTTTATTGGAACCCCGTACATGTTTCGCATGGCGGCGCCCCGCTCCAACGCGCAATCTCCTATCCCATGACTGAGATCGGATCGCGAAGTTTGGCACCGCTTCGCACCTGTCTAAATATCTTGCCTATGCACTTTACCCCCGCCCCCCTCAACTACAATTGAATCGGCTGCTTTCTAGCTAGCAGCGTTGTAGAGGTCTAATCTCTCGAAACGTAACCTAGACACACTGTTTGGGCCACAGATACAATTTGCAGTTGTCCGATCGTGCAGCCAAGTTTGAAGTTGGGCGATCGTTCCGACATGTGAAATCCCGGTCGTGAGGTCATGCGATTGCATGGTCAAGATGTACCTGTCCCACTCCCGGTTCTGCGGCGGACGATTGGGAAATATAGCTGCTGCCTCAGGCTACTCCTAACCACTTCAACTGCGTACAGCACGAATTCGCTAACCCTTATGGGAGTGTATTGCATCAGCTTGTCATAATTTTTTTCCAAATTTTTTCTTTCTACCAGTAACCGATGAGTACTTTGAGTGAAGAGTTGTAAGAATAAAACAAAGGTGAGACTCTCATGTTCAGGGAACAATAACTTCCAGTAGTTTCGCATTTTTTGCTGCTTTTTCTCTGTATGATCCATCTGCTGAAGTCGTAGCTTATGCATAATTACATTTTCATTTGCTTGTTTAGAGTTATCAAATGCTACTAGACTTCCTTCATGAAGCTTAATGATGCGGTCTTGAATGTGAAGACTTGTGACGATGTTGCAATAGGCGACAGTGCTCTGAAACTCATTGAAATGTTGGACACATTATTGGTAAAGTATTATTAATCAAAGCACCAGTTATATTTTCTGTTTTGATGGCAGTGCATTCAGGGGTGGATGGACCTTTATCCTCCTGAGGAGTCAATGGATCAAAGGTACGGGAATAAGTCGTATCGGAAATGGTTCGATCACTTGCAAAATGTACGCCTTGCATCTCATAATCCTATAAGCTACGTCAGACATTGGTTCTATTTTCAGTAGGATTTATTCAGGAAATGAGTAATGTTATAACGAATCTTTTGCCGGACGACATGAAGCCGGCATCTGTGGAGTTATGTCCTTATCTTGGAGAATCGTTCGGAAATGCTACTCGTATCGATTATGGGTCTGGTGAGTCGTCTCTATTGCACCATTTCTATCATTCAACCAACTCCAAGCGAGTCACACTGCATGAAAATTGCACTTACGGTGGCATATCGCTCTTTCCGCAGCCGAAGTAGATGCAACATTTGTTAGCTATTTTTTAGAAGAGGACTTAAACTACATTAGCAAATCGCAATACGATTCTCATGTACACCATGTTCTTAGGCCACGAATCATGTTTTGCCATTTTCCTTTTGTGTCTATATCGCATTGGATTTCTTACGGCCGCTGATCACCAGGCAGTTGTGCTCCGAGTTTTCGTGAAGTAAGCATCATGCTTTTCAATTTCCAATTATGCTTTCGTGTTCTATGATCGTAACTACAGATATATACATCTTTGTCGATCCCTGCAGACAGTGTACAAAATGGAACCAGCCGGCAGCCAAGGCGTGCACTCAATAGACGATTTTCAATTCATTCCTTTCCTCTGGGGAAGTGCCCAACTAGCTAGTGAGTTTTCATGTTCAATATAGAAAATCCTGTAAGGGATTATGCTAGCATGCTTGAATTCACTCACACATGGTTAGGTTTTCAGGTTTCTACTATTATTTCCTAGATGTAGCTTGTTCTGAATTCTTGGTATAGGGATTAAAGCAAAATATCAAGTAGTATTCCAAGCACTTGATTCAACTAAAAAGCGTTGAATATTGGGCATTGTTTGGCCTCTTTTGGGATGCACCAATTCGCGGACTGGCTACCAGCGAATCGCCGTATTCGCTAAGTTTGACACCGGCATTACCGATTCAATAGGGATTTGTTTGGCATTCACGAGATTCGGTTTTGCATGCCCCCAAACATGCCGTGGACATTGGTTAGTGCAATACCTTCACCCATGTGTTAGGTAGGTTTAAAAGGTGCTGATCATTGTTCTGTTGCACGCATTATCTAGTAAGTACCTCTTAATGATTAGTTGGCACCATTGTCACCATTTACGGTGTTGCTATCCAGAGAGTGAATGACGAGACTTTTTACCCGTTCAAAATATACTGAATTACGCACCCAGTGGCGGAAAAGCAAAGAAATCCGTCAAGAACCCGCAAAATGGGACCATTTTCTTTGCCCGTTGACCTCCGATAATGGACGAGCTAGCAACCAATTAGAGGTCGTTTGCACATGTTCAATCCGTTGCCACGATACTGCCAACAAGTACCATACTTTGATGGATAACGCTTTCCACAGAAGTTGTAGAAGACGGCCGCTCGAAGTGGAGTACCCTTACAAATTAAATGACCTGGCAACACGCTAATGTGAGCACAGTAAGGGTTGGCAAGCCCAGTGCGATGCTTGTAGAGCTACTCTGGCCGCGGAAAGCTTACATCTCGCTTCCATCGGCGTTCAACTACTGCTTTCACTGGTTCATGTAGTACAATGCTGTCGTGATACCTCTCTTTAAATAGCTTAAAGCTTCAATATTCTTATTATAACTAACATTAGAATAACAACCTTACAAAAATCAAGACTGCTACACGTTGACCTTCTGCAATTACAAAAAAAACTTACAGACAACAAGTCATTCGTTCCCGAATCCTACCTGAAGGCAGCAACCGTCGAAGCCAATGCGCATAACTACCTCTTCTTCGACTGCGTGAATTTTATAAATCAGGTGGGAAGTTCCGTGAAAGTCTTTCACACTGACCTGCTAGTCATAGTATTGTTCATTTTGTGACTCTCTACATAATTATTTCTTCTAACACCACTACCTGCTTCAGACAAAAAGCGGTCCATTCTATCAGCACTCAAACCAGTTGTGGAACATATCCGCTGTACCGACGTGGACCAAAGTCAATAGCGGCCTCTTCAAAATGTATGAAGGAGAGGTCTGTTACCAATTTTATGTATACTCTTCAAATACAGATGAGGGCAAGGGGTCAAAAAGTCGTTTTTCATTCGTTTTTCACGCTGAGTTAATCACACTTCGCTTATTTTTGAGCCTACCTCCCCTGAAACTTATTCAACGACACACTACGAACAATCAAGAACTTGTTTACTGTTAGTAGCCTTTCATACAAGCAAGTACACATCAGTTTGCAACGCTAACAAGAAGCGACGTTTTAGCTTGACAAAACTTTGTTCCTGTACCTTTCTCTATACGCATACTTTTGAGCTCTACCCACACTCAGTAGTCAGAGTGTTGAAGTTCGGTGACGCTAACTATGGTACTCCTTTTTTGGCTGCTTTACACTCTGCAATTCAAAATGAATGAGCCCTTCTCGACTGCTATGGCTATGCGCCCTTTAGCAGTAACCGAGACTGCCACAACGTTACGACTGACAACTTGACTGGAAATATTGTCATGGGGATTGAATCCCCACACCCAGCTCGGATTTCACGCACAAACGTTATTTTCCTGCTTCAACAAGTTCTTGATCACACCAGTAATCCTCGCCGTCATACGCCCCCGCCATTATGCTCAAGTAGGCCTATGGTAACTGTCTCGATTCAGAGCAGCGTTTTCTCCATCCATCCGTCCAATCATAAATGGACAGCTTCCAAAGGTCCGTGGCTCGGATTATGTGGACTCATGCCAACCTGCAGCCCAGGCAACGTCGCCGTGGTTCACACCCTAGTTTTGAAGTTCAACCAGCCAGTCGGCACCCCTGCAGCAACGTAGCAGAATGTCACATTTTTCAAAACAGTCCTTGATATTATAGATTATTTATCAGACAGACAGTTGCCTCTTCAATCTGGCAAAAAAAAACAGGTAGTCTATTGAGGTCCAAACAACACATCAGATAGACGATAGATCCCTCATTGTATACTAACCTTCCTTGTCTACTGTCCAGCTGGATTTTGTGGCATGAAGAGGCAACGAAATAAAATCTCATTTTAGGTGTTGAAGAAATTCCCAGTTGTGCAGCATTTTCGATTCGGTTCGCTCTTTTCATTTGAGGAACGTCCGAATGCGGGCCTTCCACCTTCTGAAACAACAGCAGAAGCAGCTTCTGCGAAGCCTGAGGCGGAGACTCACATGGTTCCCCCTGCACAGCACGATGTTGGTTCCCATATGCCTCCTCCAAAACACCCTGCTGTTAATGCTCACTTGCCTCCTCACTCGCATTTACCAAAAATTGAAGAATGATCTGCGAGTTATACGTTGTCTACTCGATACTGGTATTTATTCTGCCATTGTAGTAGCTTTTATGAGGCTCCGTTTTTTTATTCAGCATATTAGATATCCACCATTTGAGAGGTCTCGTTCATTCACGGTTTCCTGCACGGTTTTCGTATCTACAATACTTTTCAAGTGTCTGCTTTTATTAGGCAATACTTATAGCTAGTGGCTTTAGGAATTAGAGGTTTATTTGCATGTGTTCTTCCACCACTCTTTCGTAGTCAGGCTGCACTGTATTTTGAGAAAATGTAACTATACTTGGAAGTTACTTCTCAGACATTAACATTCAATAATGAACATGTTCGTCTTAATAACAGAATCTCATTTGTGTGTGAAAATTTAGGAAACCATTTCGGAATATAATCGAGCTAAGCAAGTAGTGACTAAAACATGTAAACGGCTCAAAAGTCCCAACATCGCGAATCAGATTCGAGAGCTAACGCAGCCAACAGTATGATAGTCATAAGCCATAGAATTTCTTTAAACATCTAAAGAGCCCTTTCCAATAGATTAAAAACTATTGAATTGGAGGAAAAGTGGGTTTCAAGCTATTGAGAACAGACCGAAGTTTTCCAATCGCAGCTGCAAAACTCTTCGAACCACTTTCTTGCATTTGTATGAATTCACTTGCCGCTAGCTGCAAAATATGGTTGCATACTATCCGACAAACGATTGTGAGTCAAATGTGCTCACCATTGCAGAGCTATACGCAGGATATAGTTGACCATAGAAGGTTCGCATTCGCACCAATGCTGCAAAAAGATGAGTCTGCATGTTCGTCTCATACTCAAGCGTCTTCTCCGCCCTAAACAAGGTTGTTTTTCTTTAATGTTTTTCCTTCTCCGTACATTATGATAAAGAAAGGGTTCGTTGAAGGATCCTCAGTAATAAATTAATACCGTGTAAGTGTAAATTATCACTGATCGGCGACCAGGCGTATGGGGCAATCGACTGTGTCCTGTTTTTGACCACCCTTGGATGTATTTAAGTTAGCGGTCAAAGCGAGGAATTGAGCCTTGATTTTGATCTAGCGCAGCCAAGAACAACGAGATGGCCTCAAATTTATGTGATAGGTACAAAATCAGCTGTGAAATACGACGCGCAACGCAACTTCCTAAATAAAAACCATGATCGAAAAACACACTCTTTTGAAATAAAAAGCGCGTTGAAAGTTTGAAAACCCTACAATGCGAAAGCGAATTCAGCACAATAACTCACGAATATACACAAGGAATTAGCATTTGTTATGTAACTGCACAATTCGATGATGAGGATGGCGTCGTTTTTTATTGGACACCAAACCGATTAAAAATTCTTTTTGATTTTTGGATTGTTAACTGCTTTTTTTTGCCGTAATTCGCCACGTGGAAACTATTGTAGGGATGGTGGTACTGAAAATTTCGTAAAAATTGGAAAACCTCTGCTAAATTGAAGCATATTTAACCATGCTGCAAACCACGCCGTCTGTAGTTGTATTAAGAAGTGATCTATGAAATAATGGCAAACAACTGAGAAAAAGTCGCGCGAGATAGAAAGAGAAAAAGGAGTGAAATGCAAAGACGCGACTGGTCACAATGCCCTATGTATCCAACCAGAATTCACATCAAGAATGTCGCTACGACTGTGAACAAATGTGGAATGCATGGCGTATCCCAAAATGGGGCTAATTAATGTCGAGTGCTTTATCCTTGTTATCCTTTGAGTCGTTATGGAGCTGGCGCTTATGGATGCCACACGTTGATGGTACCAGCAAATGTAGTATTCATACTCGGGAGATGAAACTTCAAGACATGATCCACTCGAATCAAGTTTTTTCGGCCGGTCTTTGAGTGCCGGAAAACTTCTAGAAATTCAATTTAAACTCACGAATCTGAAATGATGTCACAGTATGCCAAAGCACAGTTGAGATGTATTCGAACTGAAAACAAAACATTTAGACACTGCTTCTTATGATGATACTTCCACCTACAGTAATCGCGGTTAACTGCAGGTGGAAGTATCATATGAGTATGTGTATAAGAAGAAGTGAAGAAACAAAAAATTTCCACGTACTTTGATCAGATGAAAAATGTAAACCACGCCGACGTTGACACCTGATTATTTCTTCATACAGGTATAACCGCTGCAGGGGATCTTGATAAACGAAATAAGAACGCCACAACAAATGAAATCTGTATCACTATCTCACTGGCTGATGCTATGTGCAATTCCGCAATAGTTTCAATGGTTTTGTGCCCATCAGGAAGTGCATCTGCATATTGGCCATAATGCTCAAACTTGGTTGTGATGCGAAGATCAACTGAAATGTGGTTTTTCTCGAAAATGCTACCGATTTTACAATGATCACCTTACGTCCGGATACTCTACGATCGGTTCCAACAAATCGTCGAGCGAATCGTTGGTAGCACAAACAGAGCAATTGCAAGTAAAACCGCGTCCAGCCAAGAAATTCTGAAAAATTTCTAGGAAATGAAACAAGCTTACGGTTGCAAGGCTTCCTCATAACCAATAAAACACGCCTTTCGTTCTTCACTAGTATGTTTGAAGAATGATACACCGTAATTGTCGCAGACTTCTTCTCCTTTCCTTATACCCGTGCTAACGAAAACCAGCTTATTTCCATGGAAACTAAACATACGTCATTTCGTGCGTTTTTTGTCGAGAAAGTGTCCGCTTTTTACAATATGCCTACGTACAAACTGTTGAGATTTGCTCGGCAAGAGTGGTTGAACCAACTAGCGATGGGAAAGAGACCAACACCGGATGGCGTAGCGCTCTCAGAATGTGCAGCTCTGGAAACGTTTTTGCAGAAAAAATAAAATAATGGATGATCTAAAATCGCACTCTGATCGCCTTTCGAGTGAGTCAGTGAAATAAATTGTATGTGCATTTGTCATTAGGCGAGAGGAGATCGACCGCAGAAGAGCTCTGAATACATCTAATCGGCGAGCTTCCGCTATCATTCCCCAGTAAGGATGCTGAACGTTTGATTTCAAGAGCGAGTGCCCCGTCGCGTTAGTAATAGAAATACCTTTTCCAGCTTGCTGACAAAATCCTTCACCAAGTTATTTGTTGACGACAAATCAACAGGAAATGCATCAATTTGAAGAGATAAGACAGCTGCCAAGGAGTCTGATTTCAGCGGTATAATGTCAGATGCGCCTAAAAACAGCAATTTTGGTGACCTCCATTAAGACTGTTTTCAAATATTTGAATAAAATACGCTGCTCGAATTCTCCAGCTTCCAGACAAGATTGGATTTCCTCGGAAGGATAGGACAACGCTATGTGTACTGCTAGCCGGAACATTCCCAGATCCTACAAGCAAGGACTGTTTACGTTCCTTTGACCTTATCCTCACTGTTCCATAACTTTCTAAAATAACACACAAAATTTCCGAAGGTCTTCCGTTCGGACTTCAATTTTACCAGATTCTTTTGTCATGATACACGGAAGAGCTCTCCCAGAAATATGACTCGGACCAGTCACTAGTTTTCATGCTTTCTATCCTGCATTTTCTTCTGAAAGTTGAAATGGAAGCAAATTGGGCCACAAAATAGAGCGCAGCTTCAACTGCATGATTACTTCAGGCTGATGTACATATTACTGGGCTGGTACCCTTTTTTTAATATGTACCGTGGCGTCTTTATTCAGAACAAACACTAGATCAAAAACAAAAGGATACAGGGTCAAGCATTTCGCCGTTGATCAATCCCGTTTTGGGATGCGGCACGCATTCTACTTCCATTTGTACATTCGTAGTGGCATTTGAATGCGATGTGGCCTATACAATGACTTGCGGGGGCCAGCCGATGTTCAAGTCAGTGTTTTTATCCTCCCAGACAAGTCTGGTACCAATTAACCGACCCCGGAGGGATGGAAGGCTTGGTTGGCCCGGGCGACTCACGACCCAGGATTTGATCCCCGGACCGCTCGCGTGGTAAGCGCCACTTGCACTACACCACTTTCGCTTCTCAAGAACAATACTTGGAAAAATAAATCAACGATGTACGGTCCACCATTATTCGAAGCTGCTCCCACGCATCGACTACATAAATGTGGTTAAAAAGTGAGCAGTGAATACGGCTATCGGTTTCAGAAGGTCGCTCATGTTCTTTGGATGCTAAAAAACTTCGCAATTATGAACTATTGAAGGACTTTAACAATATTTCCTGTATATGAACGCGCACACGGAAGGATTTTAGTCCCGCCTCTTCGACTGCAAACCTGGTTGATGTCGTGAAACAAGCTATTCGAAGTTTTCCCCACGCTCTGTTTTTTATGATATTTCCCAAGAAGACCTTTCCCAGTCCCACCCAATCACGACTTTGCAGTGCGATATGTCGTCCAAGCCTAACAATAAGTCATCATTTTGGAAATCAGGTAAACCTCTTTGAGCGGTCGGTTCACCTGTGGCATTCTCTCCTATACAAGCCCAAATGTCTCAAACCTTTCAGTGGATATATCATGTCAAAAGCAGAAACAATATGCCACTATATTATTTACCAAGCCGATACCTTGCGGTAACGGATTTCACTTTCAAACAGTAGCTGTACCAGCTTTCATAGCACTACACATTTTTCGAAACAACCTTGAACTCAGTAATTTACTCCACCTGCAGTTTGTCCATAAACGGTTGCTCGAATGGCCCATACAACTTCTCTTTGTCAACGCAATTGTAGCAGTAACTACAAATGAAACCCCTTTTTTTAATCAAGAGCGTATATGACAGCTTTTGAACAGAACATGAGATTCTGGGTTATATATCTATGTGGCGACAGAAACGATGTTTAATGGAACGTAAAGCAGCCAGAAAGAAACAACGTTGGAAGGTGGCCACGCTACGAGATTTTACGGCGCTTATGATGGGAACCGTACAGTAGAAAATAGCATCACCTGAATTTACCTCGTTTTTCGAGCAAATATATTCACGTGCCCTTTAAATTCTTCAATTGTTGGGCTATTTATCAGTAGCAGGAAGCTAGAAAATGTATGCACTTATATCAGGCATTCCTTCTCATGGTAAGATCCCCTGCAACAGGTCAATTAGAGGAGGCCAACCCATTAATTTGTAAGCGGTATCACCGCTGCAAAACTTTGAATGTGCACAGGTAGCTCATTAGGAAATACATTCTGTTCTTCACTGAACGCGTCAAATAAAGTCAGCTAGATTGACGCATTGCCTTTTAGCAAGCATGGGGGTGGGGCAGGTTAAAAATCATAGTACCTATTTCGGTGATTCTCCGGTAGTTCGTCAAGACAATAGCAGCACAAGCCGTCGTCTAGACTCACAACCTTGCCGGTATCCAAACAAACAACTTCACCGCAAGGTATATCTCTTGTGGCCTGAAACCTGTTTTTTCGTTCGTATCTCGTCAAGGCAAAAAAATCAGAGCGAACCCACAACAATATGTCGACCTCTCTTAGAGTCGGTGCATGGGAGTGACGCCGTCACACAATTGTGGGAAGCTCTCATTTCGTACGAATGGAGGGAAAAATTTGCTCTCCATATTCCGAAAACATGACTAGTTTATGATCGGCTCTCACTGGAATTCTCCAATGTCATGTACATATGAAAAAATTATAACGGTGACATTTCCGAAGCAATACATAAGGCAATAACGAACAGGAGAAATACTTTCTCAAATATTTATACATGGACACAGAGGACACAACCATTAACAAATAGTTTGAATATCAACCAGAACAACCTCGACAACCACAGTGAACACATTCAATGACTCTCTCTGCATCGAGCTTACTCTTAGGTACGCGACATATGCAGTTTGTTCCGAAGTTGGTGTCTCTCGTTTGGACGCACCTGAAGTTTTCTCAATGATCACATAACTAAGATAGATGTCAGATCCGTGAATGCAATCGCGACGTTTGACACTACTAATAGCATATAAAAGTGGAAACGTGCAACAGTCCTTTGAGCAACTAGAAAAAAAAGGTGAATTAACACCACAATTACCTCAGACAGCAAAGGTTTTCATAGCCTTGCTTTTTCCACTTAGCTATCAGTTGAGCGTCAGCGATTTTAGCAGCCAGACAAAACTCGTAGAGCTCCCGTGAAATAGCTTCTCGTTTATAAAATAAGTCATAGATATACCTCGTTCGCTGATGATGAATTCTGAAACAAAGCAATTGAAAGCAGATAAAAAGTTGGTCGAGTTTGATTCCTTGTTGCTATTTTGTGATACTATAACGTTATTCAAATAATATATTAGCTCTACCATAATATGTTAATGTCCACGGCTTCCGAAAAGCTGGCCTCTAACCGCTAAATGAGTTCTTCAACCCCTTTCTTGAAGTCTCCAATCGTTGTCGCCTGGGGTCTCAGTCTCGTTTGTCAGTCATGGGTGAGGATGGTCGCAAGCCTCAGAACGGTAAGGCCTCCGAGCGAAGAACAGAATCTCATCAAAGACCCAATTACCCACTTCCGGACGCAGACTTCGGCCTTATCATCGGCTACAGTGTGGGACCTAAAGGCTCCGCAGTACGCCTCTGTTCTATTTCAAGCCTCTCTGATATCACTACTGTTTTTCTATTTCTTCTTCCTACTTCTTTCTTCTTTTCTTTCTTGTTATTGTGGACTGATTACTCAACAAATTCTTGGTTCGGTGTATTATATAAACAAACAACCAATGTAAAGAAGAGATAAAGATTTTATCAGAGGAATTGGACCAATCGGAGCAGTAACTGCCATTAGGATGTTCGCAGAACATACTGGGTTGTTGAACAGAACTATTGATCAGAACGAATGAAAATTTATCAACTTCTTTCCTGAGTGTCGTGTATCAAAATTTGAGATATGTCTCAGCGAACCTAGCAAAACATAATATACCAGAACAAGGACACCTCGCTAATATTACAATTAAACGTACCTGAAAATGGGCCATAAAGTCTCAGTCCTTCGCTTCCCCTCGTGCGGATCCGTTTCAGCCTCTCGCATTTTTGCTTCAAATTCTTCCAATGTTGGTTCAATAAGATCCCAGCCCTCCGGCGGTGGCTTGCGAATACGACGGAGTTTCGTGGTGAGGGACATCTGGAAAGCGAAATCACATTGTATCCGTTCATTTTTAACAAAAGGCTCAACCAAAACCGTCATCTTTAAAATGTGGAAGTATGATGATTAACTCCTTTGGGGAATCGAAACTATCGAAACGCAACTGTCTGGGGGGCCGAGACCGGACGTAATTGCGTCTTGCACACGGTCATGGGGGTTCACAGTATCTCTTCTCATCAAAGATCGCATTATGGGCACAGCAAAGCGAAGACTTTGGACTAATACTCCTCCCCCGAGCTCCGAAGAAGCGAAAAAGGTCCCCGCTTAGGGCCGGACGCATAGTCGGTCGGACGACAGCAACGATCTGCAAGTGTCGCACAGCATTGGATGCGTATCGATCGTCGGACTTGCCTGAGTATTCGACGATTAGATGCAGTTCAGACAGTCAGACAGTTGCGATCGTTGCTGTCGGACGACCGACTATGCGTGCGCCCTAGGGAGTAATCATTTTGTACTCCTACTGACTAGTATAGGGCGCCATTCGTTGCGGGACCCACTGCCTTAACCCGCGGGGATCCCATGTGATCGCGGTTGAATTCGAACATTCCAGCTTCTCACGCATGTCAAGTGTCCTGCCTCACCCGGGTGCGTAGCATTAGAATCGTCCGGAGACCCGCGCTTGTGGTCGTGCCCGCGACGCCGCGACTGCAGTGGACGAGTTGAGCGTCACTTGCTTTGAATTTTAAAGGGATCATACAAAGCAATTGATGCGATTGTGTCGCATTTTCTCAGGTGTGTGTAGAAATTTTATATTCACGTAGAACATGTTCATTTATTGGGTGTGAGAAATTCGTTCATCAGCTGTTCCCGCTACGAATCAGTTTCAGAATGAAGAATGACGAGCGTGAAATGCCCGCACTGTGGCATCAATGTCTGCTGGCTCTCTGCCAACGATATAAGAACGATTTTAGCCCGGAACAAAAAGCTGCTATCATGGACCTCATCAGGGTTTGTTCAGGTGCTAGTTTAGAACTCTCTGATAGAATTGATTCGCCTGTTTACAGTACCAAAGCCATTACCTAATCTCACCTGAAATCCGTCGTGAATTGGAATCAAAAGCAGTAGATGGCGAACATGGGGAGCATACAGTCACCAAGATTGACATTGTTGCCAGAGCAAATGATACCATGGAATTCTAATAACTGTTGTTTCACTTCACTCTGTTATTGCTGGTTTCATTGATTCGTTTTACTGTTGACTGTTGATTGTTTTGTTTTGTTATCCGTGCTACACATCCTGTAGTGCTTAAAAGTTTATTGCATATTGTGTATGTT